CAGTTAATGAATGAATGATGACTCAGAGGTCACCTAGGAAAGTATTATTTCAAACTGCCAGCAGATTTCCTTTAGCAGTTCTTAAAATCAACTTAATAGATTGTGACCACAACCAGAATTATTTTTTTAAAAAGAATAGAAATTATCCAGATGCATTCCATTTTGTATGTAAGAATAATTCAGTGAAAGTTTTTTCAAGTTATATAAATACATACACACTCATAGTGAGAGTATATTGTGGTCACAGTCAAAATGCTTGAAAAGTAATTGACACAATCCAGTTAGCTCATTTTACTAATGAGAAATCCCCAGACCAAAAGAGATCAAGGAATGATCCATTAATGACTGGTTCTCAACTTAGTATTACTTACCCTCCACCTCAATCCTCTTACATCTAGGAAAGATAGTTCTCATTTAGCTCAGGACAGATCACTGATCTTGGCATCCTGCTTGTGAGACATCTCTGGCATAATAAAGCTCCCAATAGTACGGAGAAAGAGAAATGAGAATGTTGTGGTAGTAATATTGACTACAGTTTTAGATTCCAAATGTGGACAAGAAGTGAATTCATTAATTCAGGTAAATTACAACTTCTAAACAATGGGGAAATAACTTTGACACCTCCTATTGAGCAGCTCAAATCACATCTCAAAGCCACTGGTTAGGAAAAATTGTGTCAATCTCATAGGGAGATAGAAGCTGAGGTTGGCCCTGGGATGCTTTTCCTCTTTCACATATGCAGCATGAAACCAAAAGTTGAACAGGTTAGGTCCTGAGAGCCACATTCCTGTCCTATTAAGAATATTTATGTGAGTTTGGACAATTTACTCACCCAAGTCTCCTGTTTTTCATCTCTAAAATGAAAAGCCAGGATCAGAGCTAATGATCATTAATTGTTTGGGGATCATGGGATCATTTTTTATATCTTGTGAAAGCTCTAGACTTTGGTTCCCTAAAATGTACATATTCACATGTTCAGAATTTACTTATAATTTCATAGAGTTCACGAAAGCTCCAGTAAGTCTAGAAATAACCTCATTGAGTTTTCCCCACTCTAAAATCTATGTAATGAGCTGGGCGCGGTGGCTCACGCCTGTAATCCTAGCACTTTGGGAGGCTGAGGTGGGTGGATCACCTGAGGTCAGGAGTTCAAGACCAGCCTGGCCATCAAGGTGAAACCTCATCTTTAGAAAAAAATTTAAATAAAAATAAATAAATAAATAAAATCTATGTAATGAAAAGTCTATAATCTAGTACCCCAAAGGGAGAATGATGTAGTGGACTGTAGGAAACTCTCCAGGACAAATGACTCTGTTTTGCCAACAACTGAATTGGAAAGGAGTAAAAATACTGAGGTAGAAGGGAAACCTATAAATTAAAAGAGATTTAAGTAAAAAGTCAACCAATTGTAATGTGTGGGTCCTATTGGGATCTGATTTAAACTCAATATTTAAAATAATTATGACATTTATGAGACTATTAGGAATTCTAACACAGATATTTGATGTTAAGGAATTGTTCTTCAGTTTTTTAGACATGGTAATCATATTGTGTTCTTGTTTAAAGAATCTTCATCTTTTGAAGATACATGAAAAGTATGTATTATAGAAAAAAATTATGTAATATCTGGGATTTGCTTCAAAATAATATGGACAGAAGCCAGTGAGTATGGATATAGATGAAACTAGATTGCTCATGATTTCTTAATTGTGTGTGTGATTACATGACACAATTCTGTTGCATATGTTCAAGGTTTTTTATAATTAAAAAATAAAATAGTATAGACTGCAGAGTTAGACTACAGAGGTATATGTCCTAATTCTATCACTTACCAACTCTGCGACCCTGAGAAGTTTCTTAACCTTTTGATAGCCATAAACAGGAATCATAATAATCATCCCCAATTCACAAGGTTGTTGTAAGCATTAAATGAGTTCATATATGTTAGCACTCACCATAGTGCCTGGCACATAGTAAGCACTCCCTGACTGTTATTACCATTTTCTGGGGGAGTATGGTGAATGGAGAGTTTGGGCATTGACTGGGAATCGGAAAAACTATGGAAGATTAAAGACAGATTAAGGTAAAAAGAAAGGAGAAAAGGGGGGGGAATATGCTGGACACTTTAGAGAATGCAACATGTAGAAGGGTTTGGTTTATGTGACTCAAGTCTCTTTCTTTTTCACCTCTCCCACCCCCAGTTCTGTATAAACATCAAACACACACACACAGACACTAGATCCTTTTAGAGGGTAGGAGGGCATCTAATAATCCCTCTTCAAGGTAGAGTTTATGAAAAGAGCAGAAGGTTTTCTGGTGGGCCACGGAGGAGGCTCGATGGCTGGAGCTTTTTGCAGAGTCATTGCCTTTTCCCTATTTGTTGGGTTAACCATGTATATTTTGATGTTATCACCACTGGAATGTGAGGCAGATGGTGAATTCAAAGCCTTTGCACCCAAAGATGAAGGTGCTTGCAGGTAAATGAGTTGGTTGTGAGTACTGAGAGTAGAGGTAAAGACCCAAGTGGGAAGTTGCGAAGGTGCAACCCAGGAGCACCTGCTTACAGGGTAGACTCGGATGGGAAACACAGCCACACTGAAACTTGCTGTTCACAACGTTTTCTCTGTACTTAACTCCCTACCACAGAGGTGTATTGTATTCATACATGTAATAAGCTTCCCAGCAGTATCTCTGCTGAGACCTGCAAATCCCATTTCTCCCTTTAATAGGGTATAGGTGGGGGAAAGGGGGAGTCTTCGTGTTCCATCCTCTACCTGTGCTTGCTGTGAGACTAAGAGACACTGGTTAGGAAAAATTGTGTCAATTTCATAGGGAGGTAAAAAATAAGGTTGGCCCTGGGATGCTGTATTAAATTTTCTAGGGTCACCATAACAAAGTACCACAAGCTGAGTGGCTTTAAACAACACAATTTTTTTCTCTCACAGTTCGGAAGGCTAGAAGTCTGAAATCAGGGTGCTGGCAAGGCCATTCTCTTTCTGCCTGTCCCTCCTCCTAACCCAGGCACCCCCACCCCACAGCTTCTGGTTGTTACCAGCAATCCTTGGCACTATTTAGCCTGCAGATACATAACTCCCATCTCTGTCTCCATTGTCACATCGTGCTCTCCCCTGTATGTGTCTCTATGTCTTCACATGACTGTCTTTCCTCTCTCTTCTCTTCTTATAAGGCCACCAGTCATATTGAATTAAGAAGCTGTCCAGTATGACCTCATCCTAACTGCTTACATGTAATTTTCGTGCAGTAAAATTAGATTCCAAGATAACTTGTTCCTGTTTTGAAAAAACACTAGATGGAGATATTTTGTATGTTGCCATTGTTGTCTTGAAGGAATTGTTTACTGGCCGGGTGCAGTGGCTCACGCCTGTAATCCCAGCACTTTGGGAGGCTGAGGCGGGTAGATCACCTGGGGTCAAGAGTTAGAGATCAGCTTGGCCAATGTAGTGAAACTCCGTCTCTACTAAAAACACAAAAATTAGCCGGGCGTGGTAGTCCCAGCTACTTGGGAGGCTGAGGCAGGAGAATCACTTGATCCCAGGAAGCAGAGATTGCAGTGAGCCGAGATCATACCACTGCACTCCAGCCTGGGCAGCAGGGTGAGACTCTGCCTCAAAAAAAAAAAAAAAAAAATTGGTTTTGCCTGGAATAATGCTCAAATTTATTTTAATAAGGAATAAGATATATTAAAAGGTCCTAAAGATAAGAAAGTATTCACTAGAGTCATTATATACACATTAGAAAAGCATGGGAAAATAATGTGAGGCCAGTGGTTCTTAAAGTGAGTTTCAGTCCTTTAGATCCTTCAGGTCATTACAGTGGGCTTCTGAGACTGTTTGTAATGAGTTGCTTGATGTTGTATTCTAGCACAAAATACATTTAGGAATCTCAGCCTTGGTGTCATTCAACAAAAATAGTATAAGGACTTTTGCTTGGCTAAAGTGTCCAGAAATGAAATGAGAACTGCATCCTTAGGTTTACTTCATTTATGAGGGGTGGGGAGACAGAAATGTACATCATACTTCCCTCTTAATTTTAAACTTTTTCTGGTTCACACAAGTGACAATGTGGGAAGTTAGATGAAAGAAGTTAGATGAAAGCCGGCCACGGTGGCTCACACCTGTAATCCCAGCACTTTGGAAGGCCGAGGCGGGTGGATTACGAGGTCAAGAGATCGAGACCATCCTGGTCAATATGGTGAAACCCCGTCTCTACTAAAAATACAAAAAATTAGCTGGGTATGGCGGCGCGTGCCTGTAATCCCAGTTACTCAGAAGGCTGAGGCAGGAGAATTGCCTGAACCCAGGAGAGGAGGCGGAAGTTGTGGTAAGCCGAGATCGCGCCATTGCACTCCAGCCAGGGTAATAAGAGCGAAACTCCGTCTCAAAAAAAAAAAAAAAAAAGGCCGGGCGCGGTGGCTCAAGCCTGTAATCCCAGCACTTTGGGAGGCCGAGGCGGGTGGATCACGAGGTCAAGAGATCAAGACCGTCCTGGTCAACAAGGTGAAACCCCGTCTCTACTAAAAATACAAAAATTAGCTGGTCATGGTGCTGCGCGCCTGTAGTCCCAGCTACTCCGGAGGCTAAGGCAGGAGAATTGCTTGAACCCAGGAGGCGGAGGTTGCGGTGAGCCGAGATCGCGCCATTGCACTCCAGCCTGGGTAACAAGAGCGAAACTCCGTCTCAAAATAAAAAAGAAAGAAAGAAAAAGAAGCTTCCACACTTACTTAATTTTGATGGCTAAGAATATAGTCTCTGGATTCAAAGGTCTGTCTGTAAGATCCCATTACTTAGGAGCCAGGTAATCGTGGGCAAATTTACTTTATGCCTCTGTTTCCTCATTTGCAAAATGGAGGCAGTATTATTACATACCTCAAAGGGCTACAATGAGGGTTAAATGAAAGAATCTAGGAAAACAGCTCAGCTCAGTTCTTGGCAAGTGGTGAGCACTAGATAATATAAACTGTTATTATCCCCAATTTACAGGCTCTGCCCTAGACGTGTCATTCCATTTCTGCTCAGAAGATTATCCAGAGTACAAACTGTCCAAAGAATGAGAAAACATTCAAAGCAGAGGTGAACATTCTGCACACTTTAAAAGTGCTCTGAGAGGAAACTGGGAAGAATTCTGCAAGCATGAGAGTGTGGCCACAGGAACACAGAGTTTGCTGGGCCAGGCCTACACATGGAATAACTTGATGTCAATCTGGTTTTGTGCATATTGCAGGAAACAGAATTTGCCCTGTTTTCTAAAGGCAAGGTAATGTGCAATTAGTGATTAATCCATATCAATAGATAGCTACCCTGAATTTCCTTGGAAAGAATTCCTCCCCTCACCCTAATGCCCCATTCCCAAAGTCACAGTAAAAGCAAAACTCTTCACAAGGCCTATACAACCTGTCTTCATCTTCTGCTGTATTCTCCCTCTCTGTTCACACTGGCCTCCTGGCCATTCCTGGAATACCCTAGCCTCAGAGTCCTTGCACTTCTTCCCTTTGCCTGGGAGAGAAACAGAGCCAGCTCCATCACCTTTCTTGGTGTTCTTCCCCTATCCTGTTAAAATGGCGCACTTACACCCTCCTCCACTCTCTCCTCCTTGCTCTCTGTTTCTCCTTGGCACCATCACCTTCTAACATATAATTTATTGATTTGGTTCCTTGTTTTTCCATAAGGGCAGGGATTTGTGTGTTTTACTCATTCCTGTGTCCCAAGTACCTAGAACAGAGCCTGGTACCTAGTAGTACACTGTGGAAGGGCTGTCAATGAATCCACATACTCACCAGTTCAGCAGGCCAGTCCTTACCCCCAGTGAAGTTATTTCTAGCACAGTCCTCTCTGAGAGCTTGATTCAAGAGAAACATTTCACACGATTCTTTCAACATGAGAGACAATGTATCATTGGCTTGGATTAATGAGCCAGCATCAGCCAGATCATCAAATTACCTACATAATGTAATATCAGAAGGGAGTGTAATGTCACTGTCTTGGTACTCCTGTAAATTGAGCCAAAGACTGTTGATTTTTTAACTTACAGAATAAAGTACTAGGCTGCTTAAAATGTCTAGTTTACAATATCTTTTTTTTTTTTCAGGAATCTTTACATGACACTGCTACACATTTTATCACTGACAATATTTTGACATAAGCCTTATTTTTCCCTAACAGGGATTTTATTTTAGTGATGGGCCCAAGTATTATCTTTTCTTCCCACTTTTCTAGTTTCTTTAATAAGCAAATATTACTTTAAGAAATGACTTTTTGTGCTTTCTACTAAGTCTGCAAAACTCTTTCATATGGCAGAGAAACATTTTTAAAATCCATGTTCAAGTTCATATCTCTTGTCAAAATCCCTGGGAAAGCTGATTGTTTAAAGAACTGACAATCCCATCAAAAGATAAAAGGGAGGATTTGGGATTTGGCAAGATTATCAGAATTGAGGACTTTCTCATCCAACGATCCAAACGTATTTTTAGGAAACTGACTGGAGAGTAGGACTTGACTTTGTAATCCAGCCACCTGAGGGCCTGTGGACAATGAACCTTTGGGGTTCTGAGAAGCTTCTGTGATGCAATGAATGCTTTATTCTGCATCCAAGGATGTGGGTGGAGTGGTCACTTTAACTCAAAAAAGAAATGATACAACTCTGGCTATGCATGAGATATTAGGATCAAAAGTTAAAAGATTGTTAAAGTATACATAATACATAAAAGTGCTTCATTTGCAGTGAAAAGCTCTGCAAGTATTTGGTGCTGATGTTTCTAATTAGCTGGACCCTTAATTTATCAGGAGAAATGAGTTTAAACATTAGAACTAGTTGTGTGGCTTCAAACCAGTCACTCTACCTTTCTAGTGTTTTCTAGTTCAATGGAGACCTGTTTGACCTTACTTACCTTATACAGTTATTTAGAAGCTAATATAGTTGTGGAAATGTTTTAGAAATCACAATGCACAAAACATCTGAGGTGTTATTATGCAGCCTTCCCTATGGTCCGGGCCTCCTGGAATCTTAAAATATAGTGAATACCTCTTCCAGTGAGAATCTGGTTAGGTAAGAAAAGCCCTTACCCTAGATAGCTGTGCTCCCAAAGTTAATACTGAAATGAATTATCTTTTTAATGCAGTGATTCCCTTCTGTTATTTCTATAATAATTCCACAAAGGATATGGTTATTTTTTTAAGGAGGTAGCCAGAGTGCAGCATGCTGTTTTTAACTTACCACGTCAGGAACCTGTACTCAGGTTGGAACCACACATCCCCTTCCTTGAAGGATGGGACTTTATGTACCTGGGAAGCCTCTACTGCTTGTGGAAATTTAGGGCTTCTCTGTGTATCTGGATGTGTCAAGGATCCCCAGGACTGAGTTAAAACAACTAGAGGGCAGTGAGAAGGGTTGGAGAAGTAGCAGGAGTAACAGTAAGTAGAGGCAGCTTTAGGATGACTGCCTTGCTACAGGGGAAGATGTTTCTAACCTCTGGAGGTAAAGGGGAGAGACAGCTTAATCCTTCTGAAGACGTTCTGGCCCAAACCAGGTCCCAGCCTCCTGCCCCTCAGGCTGTGATTGGAACCACGACCTGGGAAGAGGGACCCTTCATGGCCCAAGGAAAAGATGCTGGTCCTCATTTAGCAGACAGCAGACTCTTTGCCCGCAAGGTGTGTTGTTCCTCACTGTGGCATCTCCAGAGCCAACGCAGTGCCTGTCACCAATAGGTGCTCAATAAATTCTTGCTAAATCAATAATTGGAGAGTGGTTAAACTGGTAACAACAGAAGCATTTTCAAACTGCTTAGGGCCCCTGCTGGGGGCCCTAAAAAAAGGGTTTGGGTAAGAGCGACAACCATAATTGGACCAGTGGAGCCTCTAGCCATAGAAATGTTGTTTTCTTAGTGATTGTGACAGTACCGCAGCCTGAAGCTGCAGTAGCCTAGAGAATCACCTCTTACACAGCTATTTCAATCTGTGACGGCTACAAAATTAGTTGGTTGATAGATGCCACATTTCACAACACGTACATTGTAATACCTGCTATAGTTGATTTCATAATTCATAATTTTTACATTTAAAAAATTGTAGACAGGGCCGGGCACAGTGGCTCAAGCCTGTAATCCGAGCACTTTGGGAGGCCAAGGCGGGTGGATCACGAGGTCAAGAGATCAAGACCATCCTGGTCAACATGGTGAAACCCCGTCTCTACTAAAAATACAAAAAAATTAGCTGGGCATGGTGGCACATGCCTGTAATCCCAGCTACTTGGGAGGCTGAGGCAGAATTGCTTGAACCCAGGAGGCGGAGGTTGCGGTGAGCCGAGATCACGCCATTGCACTCCAGCCTGGGTAACAAGAGTGAAACTCCGTCTCAAAAAAAAAAAAATTGTAGCCAATAAATATTGTGAAATCTTTTACATTATTATCTATGAAACTAGGAGTATTTAATTATATTGAAATCTTCAGAGAAACCAACTTCATAGGTTTTTGTGGAGAAGCAATTTGTTCTACTCATGAGTAGGTATTAGGATGTGTATGTGTATATATGTGTATGGGGGTCTGGGTTTAGAGATTTTTTAAAAGCTTTTATACTTTCCTGCTTCTTGATGGATGTAGAGTGTCTTGACCTCCTTTTCCTGGCAATGTTTATATAAATAAAACCTTTTAGAGGGGTTTTATTATGTAAATAAATATAAATAAAACCTTATAATCTCAATGCCTCTCAAATATCTCCTATTAAAAAACTGTTTCTAGGCCGAGCCTCTCCAAGGTAGTCCTTGTCAAGACCTTGTGAAAGAAACAAGGTAGCTGTTTTCTTTAAACTGCTGACACTACAACAATGCATATACAAAATCACTTTAATGGTTTTTCACATAAGTAGATTTATATAGACAGAAAATAGCTCCATTTTTTTCTTTGCCAAGCAATCAAGCAAACACAAGACCAATAGAATTAGTAAGCAGAAACCCTGGGGACAACGGCTGTGCCCTTTCTGAGTAAGACATGAATGCCATCTGGAGGAACCATTTGAAACTACAGTGCAGTAACCAAAGAACCTGTTTTCAAGCATAAAGGTACTTTTTGTGAACAAGTGGGCAACAGAGGAAGGAATAAATACCTTCATTCTACGGATGTAAAGTCCTATTTCTTTCAAGCTTCCAGTAGAAGACTCTTGAGAATATTGTTATTGAGTGAAGTACTTTCAGCTGAAATGGGAAATGAGCCCCCCCCCCCCCCCCCCCCCGCAGAGTCCTACAAGTATTATTAGCTCATCAGTAAATACAGGTCAGGAAGAATTAGGCAAGAGAGAAGCAGGCAAATGTGTCCCTAATTTGCTGTGTCCTGCCGTCTCCTCTCCCTACAATGCATTTCATTCATGAGAAGATATAAATGAGTGATAGTTTAGTTTTTTTCAAAGGTATTTACATTTTCATAGATTGAAAGTCTAAATTGAGAGAAAGTTAACTAGCAGGATTTCCAGTAGATATGAACTGTTAGAGGGGCTACAGTGATATAAGACAGCCAGCTCCTTTATAAAATTGTTAATTATTCCTTTTAAACTAGGTGTGTGTCTTACTGATACACTAACTTAAACAAAAATGTTTTAAAAGAAGTAATTCCTCAAAAGAAAGTCTGAGTAGTTAAAAATATCTGCATTTCCTATGTTTATTTCTAGTAAGATTCTGGTGTTCTGAGGGCATGTCATAGAGTCTCCTATCTCAATGCCTCTCAAATATCTCCTATTAAAAAACTTTCTAGGCTGGGCATGATGGCTAATGCCTATAGTCCCAACACTTTGGGAGGCTGAGGTGGGCGGATCACTTGAGCTCAGGAGTTCGAGACACGGCAAAACCCTGTCTCTACAAAAAATGCAAAAATTAGCCAGATGTGGTGGCATGCTCCTGTAGTACCAGCTACTCAGGAGGCTCAGGTGGGACGAATGCTTGAGCTGGGGAGGTTGATCGAGGCTGCAGCCAGCCATAAACGCACCAGTGCACTGCAGCCTGGGCGACAGAGTAAGACCCTGTCTCAGAAAGACATTTCAAAAAAAAAATTCCAGCCACTTGAGGGACCAATACTTTCATAAATTGAAATTGTATGGCAATATCTTGATGCCTCTTCCTGTGCTCATCATGTCACAGGTCATTAACGTTCAGATTGGCACTGGTCTATGCACGCATCTGAAGATCACTACTCTACCTCCGGTTCTGTCTTTCTAAAAATAGCCGGATTTGACCTAAAGATCTCTGCCCACAATACCACCAGTTATATTCAAGAGCTTGACTTATACCTTCTTCCCTTCTGCTCTTCCCTCCCTTCTCCTTCCAACTTTCAAAATAATACAGTCTTTGAATCCATAATGAAAACTTCAAACACTTTCTAGTCCCTATTTAAATCTACTTCCAACATATTTGCACAATTTCCCCATCCTCTTGTTCCATTCAGCTCAGTTCAGTTTTGCTAATTTTATTTGTCATGAATTTGGCCTAGACACCAGAAACTTGTATAAGACACGTGGGTAGCACAGAAGTTCAGATATTTGAGGATTAACAGGAGAAATCTATCTAAGAAAACAATGTAGCTGACAAGACACATGCTTTCTTGCTATAAAGATTATTGGAAAGCTTCAGCTGAGTATCATTTTTGTGTGTGGCCAAAATACAGGTTGAGAAAGTCTTTTGATTGATAAGCAATTCTAGCTTTCTGAAGTTTCATTCACTAGTTGAAGAGCAATGTATATTTTTTCTAATTCCAAAAACCCAAAACAGAAAATTCTACATGGGCATATATTAAGTATTCACACATTTCCATTTATAAGGCACCAAACCCACAAATCTCAGAGAAAGGAAGAAAACAAAAGATTCAAGGACAACAAAGTAAACTCAGAGGAGGTTCATCAAACTGGAGTTAAATCACATCCCATTTTAGTAAATAAGGGACCTGATACTGATAGGAATCATTGCCTGTGAAAGAAGCCTTCTGAGCCCTTCTTTTGACACAGCCTCCTTCACTGGATTAGTGCAGGAGTAAATCCTCAGGGAGGGCTGCATGGCCAGAACACATCAATCCCAAGCACCACCTATCCCATAGAAGCTTGTGGGCAGCAATGCTCCAAACAAACCATGTCCTCACCCAAAGAAACCTTCAGGGACCGATCCACAGTAAGCACACATACTTGCCTATCCCAGTACTTGAGTATTTTAAGAATTCTGCTCTAAGCTGAGGCAGAACTGCCTGCCTGAGAACCCTGAACCAGGTTAGTTATGTGGGTTCTTCATGGGGCACCATCTATGTAGGAGGGTGGACCCTGGGTTCCTCTTGAAATAATGACGTCCCTAGAGGGACCCTTAGAACCAACTGATCCTACCAAGAGCTTTTAAAACATGCTGGTCATATCTGCAGATTCCCTGGTGCAATCCTGATATCTTGGCTTGTAAGGCAGCCCTGATAACTCTCAAGTAATCCTGTAGTCCACTGGTATAAAGCAGAAGGGTCCCATGACATCATACAGTATCTACGCTTATTGGCTGGGCCTCCTGGTGACTGTGGGCACTGTAATTTCTAGTACTGTCTACATTAGTATTATATGAGAATAAGCTTCCTGAATGTCCACATAAATCCAAGCATTTCCTGCAAGTATGACTGCTTCCTAGTCCTTTATATGACCATGCAAGGTAGGGATGGGAGTGAGCAACACTTCAAAGAAAACTGCCAGGTAGACAGTTATCCTGAGAAAAGGGTTAGTATTATAGCTGGTGAGAAAGGAAGGACCAGAAATCAGATGAACTGAGTAACTGAAAGCTTTTCCACCCTGGACAATTTGAAATCTAAATGAAATTTGGTCCTTGGGTCAATTTATTCCATTACCAAAGACCAGCATAGTAGGATAGCCATTCCAACAGGGTGCGGACCCACCACCTACTTACTTTCCAGTCCAATTTTATTATCCTTTCTGCTCTAGGAATTGCCCTTGGAGGCCACAATCAAAATTTTCAGGCATGAAGATGATTCTCCTTAATTCAGTGTCTCATGAATCTTAGCCAAGATCCCTTCCCTTCCTGTGCCTTGCAAGGCTATGATCCAAAAGGAAAAGGAGTATTCCTTTTATTACCAACAAAACTCTGAAATCCTTTGGCTTTCAAACACTGTAGCTATAACATATCCTTGGATATATCTATTAATTTAAAAGCCAATCCTTTAAAAGTCAACTTCTATTGTATCAAGTTTTCTCCAAATTATGAGGGGTTGCCTCCACACCTTGACCCACGTGCTACCCTCAGGAATCTTTCTTGGTCAGTCTGGCCTTTACTTTGTGCCTCAGAAGGGCTGCGGTGGCAGCACTGCAAGCAGCCAACAAGAAGAAGGAGAGGCAGGCCATGTAGACAGACAGGGGTCCGTGGCGCTGCAGGAAGATCTCCTGCCTACCCTGGTAGTCCAGGAGGATGGCCTCCAGCTGGGAGAGCGTGCAGATGGACAAAAAGGCATGAAAGATCTGATGTCCATGGCCCACGATATCACAGGAACCCGGGAAGTACTTTTCAGGCACCGGGCAGGAGAAAAAATAAGCACTGACCAGGAAAAAGAGGATCTGGAGGGTGTGATACCAGGCTGCTTGCTCCTGGCAGCCAGCCAGGTGGCAGAGTGCCACACGGTGTGCCACAGGGCTGATGTCTAGGATGAAGGCCAGCCCTGCTGGCACCACTTGACAGATCTTCCTCATGACTGGGTAAGGCCTCCGGTAACGATATTTGGCATAGCAACAGCCAGCACAGGATAACCAGCCGCAGAAGGCAGCTGCTGGCAAGAAGAAAAGCCAGAACCGCTCATACCAGGCCTGGTCAGAGCTATAGAAGAAATGAGCCAAAGCACTGCCATATTGGTAAACGCTCACGCCAACATAGTCCACAAAGTAAAAGGTGTAGTGGGAGAGCTCCGACTTGGACTGCAGAAGGTGCGCCAGAAGGCTGCAGGTGAGGTAAGTGATTGACGACAGGATGAAGAGGAGCAGTGGCAGGGAGTGGGTAGACGCCCATGGCAAGGCCTCAGCCTCGGCAAAGGCCCAGAATCGCAAGAGAACGGCCAGGGCTGCCAGTAAATGGGTCCAGACGTTGACCACCTCGTTGTGTTTCTGAAAAAGGCTGAAGAAGTAGTAGCGCCACTCGTGCCCTGTGGGGCGGTAACCGGTGCGGATGTAAGGCTCCCGGAAGAGCTGGGGCACGTCCGTTTCCGGGACAGTGCAAGGCATCTTGGGAAGCCCATCCTCCAGGATCTTGGGCAGGCGGCGCAGCTGCTGTCCGCTGACCGACAGGGTGCTCAGGCGCTCCAAGATGGCGGTTGTCATGGCTGCAGCTCGCCCACGCTCCAAGCCGGGTACTCAGGACAGGGAATGTAACCTGCAGAGAAGCGGAAAATTGGCAAAGCTGCAGTGAGACAGGAATGAAGCTAAGGCGGACAAGGAAAACTATGGCTATTTTCTTTTCTTTTGAGATGGAGTCTCACTCTGTTGCTCAGACTAGAGTGCAGTGGCGCGATCACAACCCATTGCAACCTCTAACTCCTAAGCTCAAGTGATCCTCCAGAGTAGCTAGGACCACAGGTGCACACCAACACGCCCGGATAATTTTTTGTTGTTGCTTTTGTTGTAGAGAGGGGATGTCTCTATGTACAGCAAGCTGGGCCCAAACACATGGGCTCAAGCATTCCTCCCCACTCCTCAGCCTCCCCAAGTGTTGGGATTACAGGCGTGAGCCACCAAGCCAGCTACGATCTGTGGTTATTTTAATGGAACATGACTTTGTAGTAGTGGGGGAAGCAGGGAGCTGCAGACAGCTTCTTTGAACCTCCTTTTCTTCATCTGTCCAATAATGGAGTTGAACCAAGATCCCTGACTGTCTATAAGGGATCTTGGTTCAAGATTTTTTATTTTTAAACAGTTTCACTTGTTGGCCAGCTGGAATGCAGTGGCGCAATCTTGATTCACTGCAACTTCGGTCTCCTGGGTTCAAGCAATTCTCCTGCCTCAGCCTCCCAAGTAGCTGGTCTTACAGGCACGCACCACCAAACCCAGCTTTTTATATTTTTAGTAGAGATGGGGTTTCACCATGTTGGCCAGGCTGGTCTCGAACTCCTAACCTCAAATGATCCACCAGCCTCAGCCTCCAAAAGTGCTGGAATTACAGGCATTAAGCCACCGTTCCTGGCTTGTCCCAATATTCTATGGTTATTACACTCAGTGTGGGGCAAAGCAACATCTTGCAAAATGGAAATGTTAGGTACCCTAATTTAATGATATCTATGCCTTAATGATTATCAAGATTTAATTATATCTATAAGTAAGGTAACCTTTAAACGATATAGGGTTTTCTGAATGTTAAGATGTAATAAGCAGGCTTTAATGGCATGAAATATCATAGATACTGAAATATAAGAATTACAAATATTGATATAACTAATGATAGACTGTATTTCTTTAGCATCCACCTAATCTTAAACTATCCACTAGTTTCACTGGTACTTTGAAAATACGAGGTGGGCAACTGAGTAAAACTCCCATTTCAGATAGGCAAATTGACTCACCAGTTAGGTTGGTAAAGAACAATGCATATTCTAGGATATCCTAACAGTTAAAATTAACATGTGGTCTAAATTTAACATAAAATCTAACTGCAAAGACTGTTGTTCTTTTTTTTTTTTAAATTATGCTCTGAAAAGCAAGTAGTTTTGGATTTGCCTCTCTTGGGTAATTAAAACTGTACTCAGCGAATTTCAGGCTTCAGAAATGCTTAACTTACACTTGTATTTCTCAGTGATAGATGAACACAGCAATTATTTTATAAAACATTTCATAAACTGCTGCAAAATTTCATGTGAAGTTGCTAGGTAAAGAAACAGATTTTGCAATTTGGGAGGCCGAGGCCGGTGGATCACGAGGTCAACAGATCGAGACCATCCTGGTCAACATGGTGAAACCCCGTCTCTACTAAAAATACAAAAAATTAGCTGGGCACGGTGGCGCGTGCCTGTATACCAGCTACTCAGGAGGCTGAGGCAGGAGAATTGCCTGAACCCAGGAGGCGGAGGTTGCGGTGAGCCGAGATCGCGCCATTGCACTCCAGCCTGGGTAACAAAGAGCGAAACTCTGTCTCAAAAAAAAAAAAAAGAAACAGATTTTGACCATTTCTGGTTACCCTATATAGTTGTTTCCCAAGCTTTTTTCTTCAGAAAAATTCAATCTGATTTATCTAAATGGAACCCTTCCTTCAAAGACCCTCAGCTGAGCACATACAGAAAGTACTGTTCAGGGTACTTACTAATTTTAGTGAAGAAAATGAAATTCCTACTCATATGGCTCAATCAATATTGAAAGAGAAAAAATACCTAATCAGGTGAAAACTGTAGGGCATGAAAATTAATAAAATGTAAAGAGGTTTAGGGAGACCTGGAGTCAAGCTCCAGTTTTGCCACTTACTAGGGTGATCTTGGGCAAGTTATAGAATTCTCTCAGCCTCAGTTTTCTTCATCATTCTATATATTTTATGGGTTGTGGGATAGTTAAATGAGAGACTCTAAAAAATGAAGTGCTTAGCACTCTGCCCAGCCCAAGATAGGTGCTTAGTAAATGTGAAATATTGCTATTGTTTTTATTGCTATGAGCTGGGCTCTGTGCTAGGTACTAAGTATTAAGGATACAAAGACTGGTAAGATGCATTTCCTGCCTTCAAAGAGGTCAGAGTTTACAGGGGAGACAGACATGTAGGGGAATCAACACAAAAATGTGCAATAAGTGCTCCATTAGAGACAAGCACTGGTTCATGGGGGTCTCAGCAAACAACCACAACAGGGAGAGGATAGGAGGAGCCCTCTCAAAGTGACCCTGAACTGAATTGTGAAGGAAGAATCAGAATTCCTGAGAGAAGATAAAGATGAAAGAGACTTCTAGGCAGAGAGCAAGGTCAAAGAACTTCTGCCAAGACAGGGGCTTGGAAAGCCTGGAGCATCTGAGAAGGTCACTGTAGTTGGCAGTTCTGACATTGGTGCCAGAGAGACCTGAGCTCACATCCTGAGCCCCACCATCAACAAGCTGCATGAATCCAGCCTGAGCTTTGTCATCTGTGGAATAGAGTTAATGACAGAAAAACTGTCTTACAGGGCTGAACAAGAACTATGTAATGCCTGTAAAGTGTTTAACAAAGTGCTTGGTTCCAACTCTGCATTGACTACTTGCCATTATTATGATCATCACTGGTATGAGATGCAGGAATCGTTCATGAGTGGAGGGCCTAATGTCCCCTCCATACCTTGAACCTATTTCTATGACAGTCCCTATAACCCTGTATTGAGGCATTCATTTAGCCAGCACCCATCAGACAGTAGTCTTCTACCAGGAATGGGCTATGCACTCGTGTTCAATATAGGAATTAAAGACACCAGAGAAATGTATCACGGATTACAGAGTCAGCCAGAAAGAGAAACACAGAAAGAGGGAGTGTGGGAGAGAGAAAGAAAATGCTAATTAGAATACCTGAATTCATTTAAAAACAAAAAGAAAAGAAAAAGCTAAGTGGTGCTTCTGCTATCAGCCAGCAGAGGGGTCCAAGTGCCTGAAAGTTAAGTTCTAGATGGAGGTCTCTCCAACAGCCCTTGGTGGAGGAACTATAGGAATGAGCCTGGGACATGGGATAACTTCTCAAGTTGTTCTGTTGCTGTTAACAACATGCAATCTGAGGTACTGGGCTTGTTGGCGTTCCGGGGAATTAAAGTCCTCTGTTTTTTAGATATAGTCTTCCACTACCTCTTGTGAAGTAGAGAGGAAGCCAGATGAAATTACTAGTCTGCTTTTATGTCTGGGAGAAATCAAAGCGACTCAATGGGGATATAAATCTATAGAAGAAGGAATCCCCAAAGATGCTCCCACTAGCCTCGTCTGCAAGCTATCTGAAATCAAGGCTATTTCTCTCATCTTTGGGAACCCAAACCAATCAGACGATTCCTGCATCCAGAGTTCAACAATATATAACCACACAATTCCTACTTAACTTCGTATCCTTAAAATAGTGTATCCATCACATAGCAGGTTCTTATAAACTGACAATGCAACTGAATTTCTAAAGACTAAAATGTTGGATTTTAGTAGTTTAGTGATTGGAAGAGAGTGCAGTTCAGACCTGGGAACTAACTGGCATCTGTCTGTTCTGAGGAAGAAAGGACAGAACCTTATTTTTGGTCTGCAGAAGACCATGAGTGCAGAGCTCTGACAGTTCCTTCCAGTCCTCATAGCACCAACCTCTCTCATGACTTTATGTCGACAGGTTCTTTTCAGGAAATTATTTTTACTTCACTCATAGAAAATAAGAAGAGATTTATAGAACTAAGAAGCAGAGAGGTACAAATCCAAAAGGATATTAACTTTAACTTCAAAAGAAAAGGTGCACAAGGGGAAAGAAATTGGCAGAATCATCCTTTCTCTTACAAATGAGATCTTTTAAATGCAGCCACAGAGATCTCAGGGTCTCCTTAATAACTCCACCCCCTGGAGTGTGTAACCCAATACCCACAAAAGAACCTGAGTCCAGGGATACAACCACCACAGCCTCTAACTCAGAATATGATATCTTATCTCTCCCAGGAATTAGAGTGTTGCAAAGATCTGAGTCCTCTATCTGTGCGTAAAAAGGACTTAAATTTCCCGGCCAGGTGCAGTAACTTGTAATCCCAGCACTTTGGGAAGCTGAGGCGGGTAGAGTGCTTGAGGTCAGGAGTTCGAGACCAGCCTGATCAACATGGTGAAACCCCATCTTTACTAAAAATACAAAAATTAGTTAGGCATGGTGGCCAGCGCCTGTAATTCCAGCTACTCGGGAGGCTGAAGCAGGAGAATCACTTGAACCCAGGAGGAGGAGTTGTAGTGAACAGAGATTGTGCCACTACACTTCAGACTGTGCAACAAAGCAAGACTTCATCTCCAAAACAAACAGAAAAGGACTTAAATTTCCCTTTGGTAGTGCAAGGTCATGAAAAATTCTAAACTTGTGGTCAGAAAGAGAGTTTGGGTTGTTTTTTTCTTTTTCTTCTGTCATCTCCTTAGCAACCACCTCTTCCTCTGCCATGAAATTCTCCCTCTGAGAGCAGCTAACGTAGCAAAAATGGTAATGAGTTATGATTCTTTTATCATCAACTTCAGAAGCCACTGTCAAGTGGGGTTTGCCCCCTCCCTCTTAGATCTCACTTTCACCAAGCAGGAATGGGCAATGCTTCCATGATTCAAAGGACCAGCTATTAAGTCTGAGCCAATTTTGGCAGAAACCATATTGTCATCATGATGTTGAATCCTCCCAGCCTTCCCAGCTGGATGCACTGCGAAAGAGCCCCTCCCTTACTTCTGGCCTCTTTTCCC